CTTCTATGCTGATGCATGATGAAACCCTGAGGCTTGGAAATTTGCAAACTAATGAGATGGTTTTGTGATGAAAGTGCATGTTGGATTGATACTGCTTAAATCTGAGACAACTTTTAAAAGGAGCCGTGCACTGTCTTCTAGTTTTGCTTCCCTATCCACGGGGCTTGAAATGTCTGTTTCTGCATACAGATGTCTTAACAAAAATTTTTAGTTTCTCATGATCTGAAAGATTTTGTGTGCACTTCTTGGTCTAAATTCTGTTTTTATCAGGTCTAATCCTGAATAACTCATTTTGTAAAGTCAAAATTCACTGTTCACTTAAACATCTGGACTAGATTGGGCAGGATGAGGAGGATGGGAGGAGAGTCCTTTTTGCCCTGTAGGCTCTGGAAGGTTTCTTGGAGAGTTGTCTTATCCAGGATTAGGAAAAATTAGGCTTTTTGCCTGACTAAGATATTTCTAAAAGTTGCTTGTGTAAGCATTTTAGATTTCAGAAAGTTCAACCTGAAATGTGAATATAGAGTAGAAACAGTTTCATTTAGTGGGATAACCCGTGTCTCTAGTCCATCAAGTTAGTATGTCTCCTAATTGCTTTCAAAAAGTACAGGACTAGAAAATATTTTTCACTGGCAATGCTTTATTCTGTTTTAAAAAGAGTAGGGGCTAAAGTCTAGTAAAAACTTGGACACTTATACGGTACTTATTTTATTATTTTTACTGTACTTATTTTATATTGTGATTTATAAGGTACAAATTTTATATTTTGTAAAATACTTCCAAAAAGTCTATGAAGAAATTCCCCTTTCTTGCTCCCAAATGTGGAAACCTAAGAGAAGGCACATGGCCTCATGAGTTTTTGGGTGTCGTCAAACCCAATTCTCTCTGAACTACCAAATGCCCAGATACATTTACTGGGGATGCAGAAGTCTCACTTAAGCTGTGGTTTTTGCCTGTATAAAGAGAAACATCTTGATTAAAGTGTGAGCAGATAGAAACCATACCGATTTGGGCAGTTTGGGCTCAATAATATCTAATTTGCTGTGAAAGGGGAACTTGCTCTAGATTAATGTTCTTAAAAGCAACTTCTGAACTTCTCCTAAAGAAATATTTACTTTATAAAAAAGCTGTTTGAGGAAGAGCTGTTTTATTGCATGGCACAGATTAAATGTACAGATGTTATCTTAAAACTTAAGGGAGTTCCCTTATGAACTTGAATATTCAATGCCAGCTGTTATTCTCATCAACATTTTACTATTTTACCATCTAGGTATTTAATAAAAGGGATTGATACATATTTAGCTGTGTAAAGTGTTAGTTGAACTTGTTCATGGGGCTAAGGAAAGGGAAATAACATTCCCTGAGCGCCTACTGTATGCACAAGCTCTACTTCCAGTACCTTGCTTCATCTTTAGTATGATTCCATGAGGTACATTTTAATTCTCATTTTATAAATGAGGAAACTAAGGCACCTGAGGGGTTATATAACTTTCCTGAAGATACATGACTAATAAATGGTAGATTTGGACCTAGCTCTTCCTGACTGCAAGCCCTGTTTTGCAGAAACTCTCCCCTCATATTTCAAAAAATTACCTCATCCCACAGTCGTTTCGCCGTCTTTATTTATGGGTTATTGGAGGGGAGTCTGAGTTGGCCAAGCCTCTGTTCCACAGTGGGAAATAGGAGTAGGATTTGAATGTGGTGAGAATGGGCTGCTTGCATGGGGTCTTCTTTGTGCTTCTGAGGGAATGTTTTCCTGTTTCCCTCTTCATCAGTGGGGTATATGAAGAGAATCTTTTGAAATTGGACCCAGTCCTGAGGCCTGAACTTTTTCTATTAGTCACCTACAAGCCAGATGACTTGAGACCATTTAAATTTTATGCCATTTAGAAGCCTTGGCTGATAGGCCATTTAGAAAAGGATACGAGGGGGAAGGGTTAGTTAAGTGCAGAGATTATGGGGTATAATGTGCAAGGGCAGGGCTAGCAGCTGCTTTGTGACTATTGATATATCCAAAAGATAAATGGGGGAAAGGAATATTAAAATATTAAAATTAATGACAGGAGCAGTTTGGTTCAGTTTTAATCTAAGGAGAAAAGCTGAGGGGGTCTAATCTCTCTATTGCTCCAGATCCAGTCATTGAATTTTCAGAAGGAAAGTCTAGTGATTAAACTCATGTGAGGAGATGGCCTGGGGCCTACTAAAAGTCAGGTTGTAATTTACATAGCATTCAAGACAACGAGAATAATAAACAGGACTTTTAGAAGGAACTTCAAGTTTTCTGCCATTTCACGTATGAGCCTTGGGGGTGGGAGTGGGGTGGGGGGGGTCTTACACTTCTGCAACTGGCTAGACCTGTGCTATAACTCTAAAATACATACTGGATTTCAAAGACTTAAATAAAAAAGTAATGTGAGGTATCACTAATTTTTTTCTGCTGATTACATGTTGAAGTGACAATACTTTGGATATACTGGGTAAAATAAAATACTAAAAGTAATTACACCTGTGCCTTTAATTTTTTAATGTGGCTAGAAAATTTAAAACAACATGCGGCTCACCTGTTTCTGTTGGATGGCACTGGAGTGGAGAATGGGCAGTAGTCCCTGAAGCTTCCCTCTAGTGGCGAGTGCCTTAGAGTAGTAAACATGGATAAGATTCCCAGTGCCAGCATTCCCTCTTCCATCAAGCTAGGAACAGCCTTTCCCTTTTCCTTTCAGATCATATGGGGCTGGTGTTTTGACTATTAGAACATCCCCATTTATTCAACACTCCAAGTACCTATGTGAGTGTCTCTTAATCACTCACTAGATCAAAGCATTCCATTTCTTAAAAAATGCAAGCCCATCCCATTAAAGACTTCCTTATTCCATCACTCCCATCCATCCATGCATCCTGTGAAAATCTGAGTCTTATATTTAGGTCTTGCTCTTCCTGTTAAGGCTTTGGCCAAATTGCCAAAGCAATAGCCTCATCAAATGTGGCCGTTCTTGCATGGAATCAGTGAAAACAACAAAGGAAATGAGAATTATGTGGATTAAAATATGTAGCATTTATCATTTTAAGGCAAAAGGACCACCATATTCCAATAATAAACAATAGCTTGTTTCATTGCTCATGCAGAGCTTACATGAAGTGACTGTTTGACTCCCTGTGTGAATTCTAGGAGTTTGCTTCCCACAAAATACCAGGCCTAGTGTTGAGCTCACAGATAATTAATTTACTCAAGGAATATTTACAGTATACAGGTGCCATATGAATAAAGTTGGATTTGTCTTTTTTAAAAAAATTAAGTAATCTCCACATCCAATGTGGGGCTCAAACACAACGACCCCAAGATCAAGTCTCATGCTCCTCCCACTGAGCCAGCCAGGAGCCCTAGAAGTAGATTCATCTTTTTTAAAAAAAATTATGGTAGAGACCCCAGATACATACCATCATTTCATACCTTCCAAACAAGTAATTTCCCCCATTGTCTTTTACATATTTTTTCTCTGATACTAGAATTATTGACTGATTATTTTTTAATGAAACTTCAAGGGACTCCTTTGTGGGGAGGTTGGCAAACATTTCTGAATTTCTTTGTATGCCAAAAAAGCACTGAACTTCTACAAACACAATGCTCTTCACATAACCACTCAGACCTTCATCATTCCAAGTCAGCTGGCAGTAAAAGGAACACAATATTCTTAACAAATGAGGGGAAATTAGTGGTACATCATCACTAGACTCTGTGCTTTCAGTGACTTTCCTAATCTGGTGTGGCCTGCTTTAAGAAAGCTCAGTAGATGGGTTTAAATGCATTACAGAAAAACCTGGGCATTATAATTCAGATTGGATACATAAGCAACCTTTTAGCTACATAAAACCCAAAAAGCCAAGAGGTCTAATCTATATTTTCCCCCAAACCCAATGTTTTAATTTGGAGAAAGGAGATCTAGTGATTAAATTCACACAAGGAGATGGCCTAGGGCCTGTGAAAAAGGCAGGTTGTAGTTTCCACTGCATTCAAGATATCCCGGAAAATAACTTTTAAAAGAAAGCTTAAATTAAAAAAAAACCGATTTTATTTATTTGAGAGAAAGATAGAGTACGAGCTGTGGTGGGAGGGAGGCAAGAGGAGAAGCAGACTCACCCTGAGCACGGAGCCTGGCCTGGAGCTCAATTCCAGGACCCTGAGATCATGATGTGAACCAAAGGCAGCTGCTTAACTGAGCGACCTAGGCACCCCTAAACTTTCTCTTTCACATCTCATCCAGTGGATCTCACACTTCTAGAACTGGTTAGGCCTGTGCTGTCCAATGTGGTAGTCACTAGCCATTTGTAAAATACATTCACAACCATCATTAACTTCCATTAACCTCCACTCTTTGCAATTCTTTCCCCAGTAACAGGTAACGTTAGGGTTACAGTTTTTGGCTACTGAATGCACAATGATCAAATCTATAACCATGACCCCAGTAGTACTGTTTTCTGTATTACTGAATCAAATTTTATCTACAAGACTGGGTACAAATAAATTTAAAGAGAGAGCATGTTAAGACAAGTAACATTTCATAAAGGAATACTTGTGTATAAAAATACAACCAAGAACATCAATTTGTTTATTATAATTGTTTAAAAAGATTTTATTTGAGAGAGAGCATGAGTGGGGGAAAGCAGTGGGAGAGGAACAAAGCAGACTCCGGGCTGAGCGGGAACCCTGACAGAGGGCTAGATCCCAGGACCCTGAGATCATGACCTGAGCTGAAGCAGATGCTTAACCAACTTAGCCACAGAGATGCCCCTTAAAAAACAAAACAAAACAAAAAAACAAAACAAAACAAAAAAACAAAACAAAAAAAACTTAAGTAATCTCTACACCCAATATAGGCTCAAACTCACAACTCCAAGATCAAGAGTTACATGCTCTACCAACTGAGCCAGCCAGGCACCCCCGAGGAGCACCAATTTGGTTTAAAAAGCAATTGTTACCTTACCACCCACCAGGAACTCAAACAATGGAATGTATTCTGATATATTTATTACAATTATATCTCGATACACTAATGTAATTGAAAGTGATAAATGCATAATTCTTTAAAATATATTGTTGTTGGGGCAAGGTGACACTTATAAGTTGGGTGTCACATTCAGGGACATGCTGTTTATCATTTTACTTACACTGAACATGACTTGATCTTTATTAGTTGCATCCGAGACCATATAATAGAGTGCTTGATAAAAAGTTTTATTATTTTTTAAAATTAATAACACTTCATTTTAACCAAAAGCCCCAATAAGGAAAATCAGATACAATTTTTAAAAAGCACTTCATGCACTGATGATCGATAATTTGAAGCCTGAGGCCCTCTTGAGGAAATTCTCTTCCTGGTTTGTAAAAGCTGTGGGAGACCATTAACATCATGAGGCCAGTTTCAGGAAGCATTGATCTCTAATATGTCATGGTCTCACACCCCGTGGGGGGGCTTATGGATTTTACTTAATATAGCATGTACAGTCCCAATTCTAGGACAATTGAGCAGTGGATATTTCGTACATTTATACGCCCAAGAGCTATTGTATTCATCCCTAGATAAGCTTTCTGGGTAGCCACTGCAATTAGGCAAAGGGTATGGTCCAAGATGAATGGTGAGGTTGGGGCCTCCGCACCTGAAACCACTGGATATGATGCAACTATGAATATGGGGAAAATCTCAGAATTTGAACAGGTGAACAAAGACCAGATGCCACTCAGGTAAGTCAAACTGCCAGACCATCAAAACAAGTTCTTGAAAGGAGACTTCCACAGAACTCATTTGCCCAGCAAAGTAAAGAAATTTCAACGGATATAGATTCTTCATAGTGACCACTTCAATTTCAGTGTCTGCACAGAGAAGTAGAGTGTCAGACAACTTGTGTATGCTGAGGAATGCCACTAAAATTAGCTCCTGGGTAAATGATTAACCTTTATAGGTAATTTTCACTTTTTCTCTCAGGGACAGAATTCAACTTTCATGTCAACATTAGTTTTGGGAACGAATTTCCTTTGTTGCTTGGTTGTGTATTTTGAGAAAGCAAATCCATGAGCACTTGCAGAGGCTTAGAACACATAACAGCATTACAAGTAATGGAAACACATAGCTCCAAGTTTTACTTTAATCACAAATTCACAACTAGAGACTGTATTTGCATATCTTAGAAAGCTAAAAAGACAGTTAAATTTTTTAACCGATCAGCAAAAATATGTGCCACAGATCCATAATTTAGGATTTATCACATAAATATAATATTTATAAATATACCTTTTATTTGCAAAATTAGCCTTAAAATATTTCTTTCCAATATGTTTGAAATTTTCATGTGTTTTAAGGAGAAAAAAACCCCACCCTCTTTCAAAATGCACCACTAAACTTCAATGTTCAATTAAACCAGTATCACCAAACTAAAAAAAAGAAACATACTGTTATGTTGGATATGTAGTTGTAACTACAAACAGTGACAATACCTGTCCTATACGGTGATCATATACATGCTCTTCTTTCCCTTCTCAGTCATTGTCAGAACCATTTGGAGGTAAGAAAACCAACGCATCGTGGAAAATATGCCCAAATGCCCTAAGACGGTATACCCCATACATCATCACATGCATCTGATTAGGGGTCAGTCCATTAAAAGTAACAGCCATATCTGAACAGCATCCTTCTACAACAAGGTTGGGGTGATTAGTCATTGCCTCTTTAATAAAAAGCCCAACGGATTTGGTATTAAATACATCCTTTCCTTCCGAATCTTCTGCATTTTCTGCAAACACTCCAGCGTATTTCAGGCAGACTGCTAGCTGCTTATCTTCAGATATCTTCCAAATCATCCCTCCCTGTTCAGGACACTTTTCAGGGATACTGAGGAGGCTGTTAAGCCTTTTTATTGATTCTATACTTAAGACGATGCCTCCTTCAACACTCACATATTCAAGGTCTCCAGATTTTATAGTGTGACCTAGATAGAAAGGTTGTGATGGATCCTTTTTTAACAAAAAATATTTTAAGTTTTCAATAATAGCAAACATAGTGGGGCGTGCAAGAAAGAACCAGTTGTATTGGTCTCTGTATTTATCAAAGGCATATTTGTAAGCTTTTCTCATCATTAGCCACATGTCATCTGTTTCCATGTTAATTGACTCAAACACTTTAACATTTTCAGAACTGAAGAACTCTGCTTTGTCACAGTGTTTGGTCCAAGTCTCTCTCACTGCAGCCCAAAGACTCACATCTTTGGGTTTTACAAGGATGATACAGTATACCCGAAAGCTCTTACTGAGCTCCATGCGTTCATCCTCTGAAATTTTCAAGATATCTTCTTTATTAGGCGCTTGTAGGTGATGATGCTTATGCTGGTGCATTCTATCTCCATGACCAATCCTAATGTGTCCTAGCATAGTGATCAAGGCACAGAAAATGCTTCCAAGCATCATACCCTTCAAAAATGAACTGCTTTCAGAAAGCATTTTTCCTATAAAAAAAGAAAAAGATCCTTAGGATACTTAATAGAAAAGGATTAGTCTAGCAATTTGATTGGTATACCTTATACACTTACATTTTGCTCTTAACATAAAAAAAGTTCCTAAGTTTGAAATCAAGTTAGCTGCACAGAGTGCCAATACTAAGAGGTCTAAGAATCTTTAGCTTCCAATGGTATCTGACCACTGTTCTGTATAAACTGGAAGTTTACAACAACACCTCTGTGCACTAGAATTTTCTGTGAGGCCATTTTTGCACTTCTTCTATGGGGATTTAATTAACTGAGTACTAAATCAAAACATTAACCCTAGAAACCAATGTTAAAGAGGTTGTCAGTCCATCATTCTCTTTGAAGGAATTTCATTTCACAAGCTTGCACTATTTAAATACTTCTGTAGATGTAAATGGACTTTACATGAAAACCTTAAATTGAACAGCTAAAACCACCTACAATTAGCCAATCACCAATGGTATCTGTGTTGGCATTTCTGTTCTTAACATAGTGCTTTATTTAGCTGATGGCTGCTGTCCTTAGGTGTTTGAGTACATCTACAGCAAATTTCTTGAGACTGATACATGTTCATATTACTCTTTTCGTTCCTAAGACTAAAGGGCTTCCAATACAGTATCCCAGCCAACTTATGTAATAAAAGCCCATAATGAAAATAGTTAAATTATTTGGATGAGAACTGACTCAATATAGGCATATCTGGGGAACCACTAATGAACATTTTTATTTCCTCCAAAGGCATTTTCTTATTCTTTGGGGAAGTAAAAAGGGAAAGGTCTACACTTTGATTTCAATTAGAAATTAAAAGAAAAGCCAACCTTAAATACACTGTTGAGATTTCCCAATCTCCTATCTCCACAAGGAATGATCTACTGAGCTCCTTAGATTTTCCCCTTTGCCTCTTAAAGTTGAAAGAAGCCTTAGAAGCTACCTAATATCACTTCTCCCATTTTACAGACAGGCAAACAGAGGGTCCACAGAGGTTAAGTAACTGACCCAAAGTCACACAGTCAGTGGTAGAACTGAACCAGAAATCAGATCTCCTCACATCAGTGTAATGCTTTTCCTATTACAGAATAATGATCTAAAGAGTGCTTCCACTCATATTGTTGGAAATTTAGTAGATGAGTTACCGAATAACCTTGTTTTCTTATGAATGTGGGATTTGTAACCATAATTGACATTTCACACCCATCTTATCATCCTGCTATAAGGAAACCACCCCTTGGTTTTCTTCTAGAGGAAATGGACTTTGACTTCTATTAGAAGGTCAAGGTGTGGAATGGCTTGGCAGAATACTTCCTGAATGAGGGTGGGGGTGGGCAAAGAGGTAGGATGGTTTTCCTGTGTCACTCAGAACTTGGTCAAGAAACAGCTCTAACGAAGGAAAAGAGAACTGATAGAAAACAGGCTCTGCTTAATATCAGAACTATAAGATGAACTCTAAAAGTAATTTATATAGGACTTTGATTATTTCTGGCCCATATACGATAACTCACACGTGTCTCTTAGCTTGAGAATAGCATTCAGCATTCTTCCTGGAGGGAATACTACTCATGGATCACATGCGCAAATTACTCGGAGTAGATTTTTTTCCCATGGGGGGGGGGCAAAAAAATGTAACACTGGAGATGTACGTGATAGGCTACCTGGTGCGGAGGAGAGGGAAACTTAAAACTGCACAAGGGCACCAATGAGGCAAAAACTACCAGAATGGTTTCTGCGATGGCAACTTTTTAGAAGATGAAGATAGTTGGGTGGAGTATGGAAAAGGGAGGAGGACGAAATGGAGAACAAAAATGAGAGGGAGGACGTGGTCTCCTCAAAACCCACCGAGGGGCCAAGACAGTACCCCCACGCAAGCGACTCACTCTCCTCCACTAACTACCGCTCCCACTGCACCTGTCCGGGTACCCCGCGTGGTGCATGATGGGACCCGGCCAGAGCCCAGGCCTTCCCCCAGGAGAGGGGCGGGGTCGGGCCGCTCCCGGGTCCGCACAGGATGCTGGCGGATGCCCCAGCACTCACCGGCGTCTAGAACGGTTCAGGGGCGGGAAAGCGCAGCTGCGCACGGCTTTCCTCTCACGTTCGCGCGCCACCCGGTTACGCTGCCGGTCGGGCTGCTCTAGATGCAGGGGGTGTCCTCTCGATGGTTTCACTAAAGGCGGGGAGGGCCCGGAAGTGAACGCCGCGACCGCACGGGAGCGAGGCGGGGCAAATGAACCCGCCGCCCGGCGAAGCTGCCTGCCGGTGCCGACGTCGGAAGGGCCCGTACGCACGCCGCGCTCCCTTATTCCCCGCCTCCTGCTGAGTTCAGAGCAGCGCGTCTTGCCGGCGTGACCCGTACGCTTGCCTGTACCCAATGGGACGCCGCGGAGGCGTGCGTGCGTACGACCCGCTGACACCGCCCACCTCTTCACCTTCTCGGCGTGGAAACCGCGAGAGCGAGGTAGAGCGTTGATGCCTGTAGCGCTTGTTTCAGGTTTCTCAGTGGTTTATGTAATGTGCTACTGCATCGTTGCACCGTCAAATCGATGAGAAGGGTGCATCACCCAGTATTTCTGGGCTGGAACCAAAATGCAGGCCACTGAAATATTCCTCGAATTACGAGGGCAAGGATTTTCTGTGGTTATTGGAATGGCATCTGAAGCCCCACTGACTGGAATCCAATCATGTCTTCACCGCGTCCTTTGGTATGCTGGGAAAGTTACTTTACCTCGCTATGCCTCAGTTCCCTCCTTTGTAAAGTACAGAAACGATCACGGTAGTGTTCGTAGGAGATAAATGAGAGTGCATAGGACTCCTATTAGTAAAAGACCAAGCACAGAGTAAGCATTCATTAAATGTTGGCTGTTATTAGTATTCATCCCTGTATCACTAGCACCTAGCCTAGTGCCAGCGCGCAGTAGACAGTACATACTTGTGGAATTAATGAATGTTAGAGCTACAGATGAGGACCCCAGGACCAGAAAGGAAAGGAATTTCTTAAAGGCCACATGGTAATTTATGTTGGAAGTGGGACTAGAATCCAGGTTTCCTAATTATAAGTGCAGAACTCTCTGTTAAACACGTGATCTTTTTAAAATTCGCTGGTTTTTTTTTGCTAAAAAACACAAATTTCCCCAAATATTTAAAATGTACTGTCACTAGGTTCCATCCAAATAACACTGAGTGGTGGCTTTCCTGGGGCCTGAGTTCTTAAAGATAAATGTTGAGTATTGACAATGACCCAGTTTAAGTAGACTGAGGTTTCAGGAAGCACTGAAACAATGAACAAATAGATTTTGGGCAATTACTCTCCTGGCAGCACTATCCTAAATTCTGGAGGTAGAGGGGCGAACAAAATTGGCCCCCTGCCTTCATAGAGTTCTCAGTCTAGCAGGGAAGAAAGACATTGAGAAATTCATTACAAATAATTATAGTGGTAGTATGCTCTCTGAAGGAACACAAAAGCAAATTTTAGAACTGGAAAGGAATCTAAGACTGGAGTATCTCCACTATTTTTTGTTAAGTACTAGATATTGTCACATATATAAATATATATGTGTGTGTGTATATATGTACATACATAGTTGAGTGAAACAAGTTGCAGAACAATGTGTATAGTATGATTATACTTTGGTGTAAACAAAATTTTGTATATGTGATCTGTTTGTATGAGCAGGGAAAGTTGTGGAAGACTCAGTAGGCTATTAGGAGATGGAGGTGATGAGCTTTGTCTTTATACATCCTCATATTGAACTGTTTGACTGGTTCTAACAAGCAGTTGTTACTTTTGAATTGGAAGAAGAGCCATTAAAGGGATCTTCAAGATTAGAGGGACAAAAAATAGAAGAGGGGAAGTTACTAATGAAAATACCTTTTGTGGGGCACCTGGGTGGCTCAGTCGGTTGAGCATCAGACTCTTGGTTTTCTCTCAGGGCATGATTTCAGGGTTGGTGAGATTGAGTTTCTCCTTGGGCTCTGTGCTCAGTGGGGAGTCTGCTGGAGGTTTTCTCCTTCTGCCCCTCATTGCACTCTGTCTAAAATAAATAAATCTTTTTAAAAAATACCTTTTTATTTTATTTTTTTTAAATATTTTATTTATTTGACAGAGAAACAGAACACAAGCAGGGGGAGGAGCAGAGGGAGAGGGAGAAGCAGGCTCTCCCTTGAGCAGGGAGCCCGACGTGGGGCTCGACTGCGGGGGCGGGAGGACTCGATCCCGGGATCCTGGGATCATGAACCGAGCCGAAGGCAAATGCTTAACCACTGAGCCATCCAGGTGTCCCTAAAAAAGTACCTTTTTAAAGAGTGCAGAGAACCAGTCTCTCCTTGCAAAAAAAGGACCAAGAAGGGACAGATTGAAATGGCCCACAGAATTCAGAGACTGACAAGGTTACAATTTAAAATGCCACTTTCTGGGGTGCCTGGGTAGCTCAGTTCTTAAGCGTCTGCCTTTGGCTCAGGTCATGATCTTAAGGTCCTGGGATTGAGCCCCGCACTGAGCCCCACATCAGGCTCCCTGCTCAGTGGGAAGCCTGTTCTCCTCCCACTCCTGCTTGTGTTACCTCTCTTGCTGTGTCTCTCTCTGTCAAAAAAATAGATAAAATCTTAAAAACAAAATAAAATGCCACTTCCTGATGCAGGAAGATATACCAGACTGGAAGTACTGATACAGTATGCTCTGAAATAGAATAAACCATGGAATTTCTAACACCAAGGGCACTGTTAATGGGAAGTTGTCAGAGAACCCAGTTCTTTACTTAAAGCAGAGCTGAAATTTACTTAGCATTTGTAGTGAAGTTAGTTAAGATGATTGGCTTGTAGTTAAATAATTTAAAATGCAATTACCGATTATTTTAAATAAAGATTTATTTATTTGAGAAAGAAATTGAGAACACGAGCCAGCTTGTGGCAGGGAGGGGCAGAGGGAGAAGAGAATTTCAAGCAGACACTGAGTATGAAGCACAACACAGGGCTTGATCTCAGGACCCTGAGATCATGACCTGAGCAGAAACCAAGAATCAGACGCTTAACCAACCGTGCCACCCAGGTGCCCTCGGTGATTGCATTTTTAGAACACCATTGCACATTTGTAGCCCTAATTTAGAAATACATGCAATTAGTATCTATTAAAATGAAGAATATTTATACTCTTGGCCTAGCCAACCTACTTCTTATCTCTCTCCCAGAAATTAAAGCACCAGAATGTAAGGCTAAATGTAGAAGGGTAAATGCATTGTTGTCTATAGTAGCAGAGGTGGGAAACATCCATCAATAAGAGAAATGGTTGAATTAATTATAATGTATCCATATAGAGGGATATTAAGCATAAGACAAATAGCTTATTTCACGTACCTACACTAAACACTTCACTAAACACATTAGCCTACACCTTGGGCAGGAGATTGCTTTCGAATTTGGTTGTCCTCATGTACCCAGCACTTAAAGCAAGACTGCATTTAAAACGGACAATACTCCATTTTTGATAAAGACATCCTGTCAAGCGCATGCATTATTTAGCATGAGAAGTCATTAATTTCTAGTAACTGGCAATTTATTTGCATGTGAGCACTCAAATTTTCAAAATCTGTCCAAAGTCCTTTGGGAAATTAATATGACTTTCTACACAGTTCACTGGAATATGTCATATTGAAGAAAACCTAAGGTGGATTGTTTTCCACATAACGTCTTTTTGGAGGGTTAAAAATGTCTTGTGTGTTTACCCAAATTAAGTTCCTGTAATACATACCTCTTCTTCCCAGACTTTCACAACTGTTCATCTTCAATAAACAAATTCCCTTGTCTGGGCAAATTCATTATTGTTTCCATTTGAGTATAGTTTGGTCCCTAAATGAATCTCATTTGTGTTTTCAGGCATATTCAAGCTTGTAATCTCATTTCCAGAATGTTTTTCCATTTGATGGCCATCTGAGAGCTTTCTTAAAAAAAAAAAAAACCATTTGCCTGCCAACAGATACATATTAAGTATTTACAGTATGTCAGTCACTGTGCTAGGTATTGCTTCATTTAAATACTTTTTTATTATGGGAAATTTTAAACACACACAGAAATAGAAGAGTGTAGTGAAATCACATGTACTTTTGAGGAAGCTTTAAGCCAGTCTTGTTATATCTAGATCTCATCCCCTTCCCTCCCTTCCAAATTACTGTGAAGGACCTTCAGAACATCATATGATTTCATCCACAGACATTTCAATGTTTATCTGTAAAAGATAACTTCTTTAAAAAAAAACTCACAATATAACTAGACAACTGAAAAATTAATGATTTCTTAATGTAATCAAACATCTAGGGAGTATTCAGATTAGTATGTTTCTCAGTCCTTTGCGTTTCTTATAAATGGGTAGGATTGCCAGGGCCCTTGGGTGGCTCAGTCGGTTGAGCATCTGCCTTTGGCTGGGGTCATGATCCCGGGGTCCTGGGATCAAGCCCTGAATCAGGCTCCTTGCTCAGCGGGGAGTCTGCTTCTCCCTCTTCCTCTGCCTCTCCCCCCTGCTCATGCACCCTCTCTCAAATCTGTGAATAAAATCTTCAAAAAACAATAAAGTAGGATCACCATATTTAGCAAATAGAAACACAGAGTACTCAGTTAAAATTGAATTTCAGATGAACAATGAATAATTTTTAGTAAAAGTATGCCCCAACTATAATGCATGGGACATATTAAATATTGCACAGAACATGCTTATACTAAGAAAATTATTTGTTGTTTATCTGAAATGCAACTTTAATTTGGTGTCCTAAATTTTATCTGGCAACTGTAACCCTAATCTAAAAGCTTTGTTTGGGGGCGCCTGGGTGGTTCAGTGGGTTAAGCCTCTGCCTTCGGCTCACGTCAGGATCTCAGGGTCCTGGGATCGAGCCCCGCATCCGGGTCCCTTCTCAGCGGGGAGCCTGCTTCTCCCTCTCCCTCTGCCTGCCTCTCTACCTACTTGTGATCTCGCTCTCTGTCAAATAAATGAATAAAATCTTTCAAAAAAATTAAAAAAATAAAAGCTTTGTTTGATTCAAGTTCCATTTGGGGTGTGATGGGGGCAAAATTAACTTCATAGATGGTGAACGTGAGAACCTCAGGAGCCGTATAATGTCTGGTTGTTTCTGTGGTAATAGCTGCATTGATGCTCGATGCCTAGATCTGTAATTCAGTAGGGTTATAATATGGTGATCTTCTAATTTTCCCAGGCATGTTTTCCCACTGTTTTTTAATTTTAAAATTTTTAAACTCTAAGTCCATTGTGGGGCTTGAACTCAGGACCCTGAGATCAAGAGTTGCATGTTCTAAGGACTGAGCCTTCCAGGTGCCTCTCAATGCATACATATTTTTTAAAGGACTAATTTCTTTTAAAAAAAATTATTTATTTATTTGTCAGAGAGAGCTCACAAGCAGGGGGAGCAACAGGCAGAGGGAGAAGCAGACTCTGGTGAGCAAGGAGCCTGATGCGGGACTCGATCCTAGGACCTTGGGATCATGACCTGAGCCAAGGGCAGATGCTTAACTTACTGAGCCACCCAGGCACCCCTTTCAAGACATATTTTTAAGAGGAACTTTGGTGCAGTGACTAAGAGATCCGTTTCGGGCATAGGAAAGACTTGGCTTGAGCTTTGGCTCACCAGTTTCCAAGCTGTGTGACCTGGGGCAAGTTAGTTCACTCCTCTCAGCTTCAGCTTCCTCATCTGTAAAACAAGAC